TCAGATCACATGTTTTGTCTTAATATCTTATCCTATGTAACAGCAATATTATTTGCTTATATTTACATGCTTTTCCCATCTTTAAAGTGCTTTCCCATACATGGTTTTATATAAGATAATATCATCCATACCCCTTTGTAAAACTTGTTGATTACTTCCTGTTACTTTTGTAATAAGATCAAAAATGCCTTTATTTGGCCCATGAGGAGCTATCAGATCTGGCTCCCAGCTACCACTTACCTTTCTAATATCATCTCGTAACACTTCCCCCTCCTCTCACTCCCTACACTCCAACCCCACTGGCCTCCTTCCCAGCCTCTGGACCTTTGCACATGCTGTCCCATCTGCCTGGAATTCTCTCATTTTTCAATCTCCTATTTCATAATTCTTTCTTATTTTTTATATCTTAGCTCAAATATCACTTCCTCAGAAGTCAAAGTCTTCTTTGACCTCCTTGTTAAGAGGCCTTTCCCAGTTATTCTCTATCTTGTCAAGCTGTTTATTTCCTTACTAACTTTTCAAATACAGTATTAGGTCCAGGACCCTCCACAGATACCAAAATCTGGGATGCTCAAGTCCTTTATAAAATATATAAGTGTAGTATTTGCATATAACCTATCCACATCCTCCCATATACAATACTTTAAATCATCTCTAGGTTACTTATAATACCTAATAAAATGTAAATGCTCTGTACATAGTTGTTATACTATATTGTTTTTTGTGTTACTTTTTATTGTTGTGTTGTTAATTTTTTTTTAGTTTTTTGTAATACGTTCCATCCATCGGTTCAATCTGTGGATGTGGATCCTGTGGATGCAGAGGGCTGACTGTACTACTACATTGCCTTCACCTATCACAGCACCTGGTACATGGTGGTTGCCCAATAAACATTTATAGAATAATTAAATGAGTAAATAAATACTGTGAAATAAGTAAAGGATTATTATCTCCACTTTACAAATACTAAAACTGAGGCCCAGCTAAATTCAGTGATTTACCCATGTGTACACTGGTAACAAGTGACAGAATCGAGATTTTTCTGACACCAAGGCCAGTGCTATTTTCGCTATTCTATACTAAACCTAAATAGCCTCAAGAATATCATAGTTTGTGCTTGGAATCATATTTTCAATTTTTGTTGAAGTTTCAACTCCAACCTTTCTAACTTAGGATTAATCTCTTTATCTGAACAATTCCTGAGCCTGGCTAAAGTGCCAAGCTTTTAAATTTTCTTCTTAACATAAAAACTCCATCGACCTTTATCTCAGCAGCTTTCTTGGTCTTAAATAAACCCAAAAAGAGAGCTTAAATAACCATTATGCCTATCAAGTAAATGTTTGTATCCATAAAATAGAAAGTTAGAAGTGATATTTAAGAATGTACTTGGCACAATAGATTGAGTTTTAAGTATGTCTCATCTATCATTCCTAAGTACTTAACTATTGACGTAAAAGATAAACCCAATACAGTGTTTCACCAAAAGAATCATTGCAATGTTTACAGATTTTTGCAATAACTGAAGACATATACTTATCTGGACAAATATCTAATATCTGAATAAATGAAGAAAAAGTACATGCATTTAATATATATCAAGCTTCTATCTGAGGCGTCTACAGGACTGAAAATTAATCCATGAATTATTTTCATATTCTAAACACAGGATATTGCCTAATTGGTACATTTGCATTGCTCAAATAGATGCAGGTAATTTAGTGAAAGAATAGGACTCTGCAAGTTTTCCTCCCTATTACTTCTCACATGCCAACATTCTGTAGCTAAGTTGTGAAATAGGTTTAAAGCCCCAATAAACTAAAGTGATAAAGACCCAGAGTGCAGAATGGTTCAGGCAGCTACAAGCACTTACTCCCATTTCAAACGTATCATGTTAATTTGAATTCTTACAGTGACTGCAATAGATAGGCTGATATGTCTCTCTTCAGTTATTTTAGTTACGGTATAGCTTCCACAGACCTATAAACAGAACCGAACACTGCTCAGTGTGATGGATGCAGCAACTTAACCCTCATCATGCACTTTCACAAACTACATAATATGGTCAGGATCAGCTGAGTAAAGCCAAGTTTAGCTTGCTGGCCCTGAGCACTGCAGTCACGGCGAAAGGCACCCCCACTATAACACAGTCATATTCCTACCTGCAAAAGTGATCACTATGCCAACCTCCCTGCAAATGAGTCTTCTGACTTTCCCCAGGAAAGAGCTTTCTGTTTCCAGGGGACTGACCGAGATGGTCATGCTTTAGCCATTCAATCAATCATTTACCTTATTACTAAACAGTCACCATGGTAGAATTGTAAACTATTCCTCAGACCTTTTGCTGTATCAAAGTCAGGAAAAAATGTCATTTATTATCAAGGCAGTTTAATGGAAGGGGTATAAAAGTCAGATTTTCTTAGAACTAGGGAAAGATGCTACTCGACATTACTAACAAGGCAGAACTCTCAGGAGGTGCTTTCATAATCAGAGCTTGAAGAACTCAGGTCTGCTAAAAACCAGTTCAATGCTCTATCCATATCTCTTCTTTGTGCCTCAGTTTCTTCATTTTTATGATGAGAGAGCGAGGTGACATTGTTGCTCCTAACTTTAAAACCCAATGAGTCTAACTATCTATGGGGCATTTATATTTTAGGAGATTGATATTAGGGGTCTTCAAAGTCATGGACTGTTTTGGAAGGGGCATTACTTTCAAGACAAAGTAAACTACCACTAATTAACACACACACACACACACACACACACACACACACACTTTCTTTCCCTAGGTAAGTAATCACCAAATTTGATGTGGTGATGTGGGGGCAAAAGGCAGTGCCTCAATGGAATGCTGGACCCAGCAAGATTCAAGCAATAAAGTTTATGGAACTTCGTCATACTCTCACATCTTAGAGCCCTTTATGATAACACTTAAGTAAATCCATCTAGTTGAGTTAATGATTACTTTAAGTTTGTTGCAAGTTAATGATGCACAGACAAATTATTCCAGGTACATGATGATACAGCAAATTTGTAACACAATTTGCAGATAATATTTTGCACTACCTTTCTTTTTTTCTTCATTTCCTACTCTGATTAGAGAACTAAAACTCATTTGAGAACAAACAGGATTCTCAAATAAGGCATATATATATATATATATATATATATATATATATATATACAGGCTTGATTAAAAGTGGTAGAGGGGGTGGGGCGGGGGAACCATTCCCCTAAGGAATCACATAGGGTTTCAGAAGGACCTTTCAGAGGTTGAGACAGACCCCAGGCCACCTCCATATTTTGATGCTCCCAGTGTATTACAAAGTAAAGAAATGCCAAAATATGTAGCTTATTTATTTAAATGTTTACATGTAACACCAAAATACGACTATGCTATTCATCAGAAAGTTCAGAATGCACAATGTATATTAATTCCTAGTGTACTATAGACACTGAGATGTGGTAATGAGATGAAAGTTTCCAAATAAACATTGTTTTTCAATCCAGTTAGGACATGAAACTGTATCTATATAAGCTCACTGGGAGATATCTCATAAATAAAAAACTGGGAGCCAAATGATTTTCTAGCCCATGATTCCAGCATCCTATCCCCTGGGTTCGAAACCTTGAAGTTTTCTTAGAAATTTGTTATGTGAACAGGGCATCAATAAAAAGCACAAATATGTGACACTAAGTATCAACAAATACTTAGATACTCATGTATTTGGAGCTATGCAAGGGTCATCCCCTACCTCAAATGCAAATGGATTGTAATTAAGCAAAATCTGGCTACCAAGCCATCAAGATGCAATAGGATTGAAAATGACCTATTGATTCATTTGTTTTGATGGTAATAAGGAGAGAGAAGGCTGAGACCAGAGAAGAGGGAGAGTGAGTGGATTCCTTCCAGAAAGAGCAGCTCTGAGTGCTGCGGGAACAGCCCAGCATATCAGGTGCCGAGGAAGAACTAACTGGCTCAGTGCTTGTTCTCAACCCCAGCTGCATATGAGGGCGCTTCAAAAAGTTCAAGGAAAGACCTGTATTATCCTCTAATTCTATTTTTCTACTAACTTTTAGAAGTATCTTCTTATTTAAGACCCCACCCAAGCCCAATTAATCAGACCCTCTGCAGTTGTCTTTAAAGGCTCCCAAGTGTTTAAAATATGTAGCTAGGACCCGCAGCCAGGTGAGTCAAGGAAGTTGAGGGTCAGGGAAAGAAAAAGCTAAGTAAGAAGAGCTCCAACAATCGGGATTTGGGTGACTGCAAGGAGACAGAGCAGGCTCATTCTAGCACAGATCTGGTGTGAGAGTGGGGTGGGGAGGTGTCCAAAGCTAGGTGTCTCTGTCGTTCATCAGAAAAGTAGAGGAAAATCTCTCTGTAGAAGAAAGGACGTTAGGATGAATAAAGCTATGGCAAGCCAAATTCAGACATTACACTGCATGGTATTACCATCACCTTATATTATAGGTGAGTATTTCGACATTCTAAACAATGACCTTCTCTTACCATGTAGTAGAGAACCGGTCATATCTGTGACCAACACTATCTAATGGCCTCCCTCCTTGCTCAGAGAAAATCTAAAGACCTAACTCGGCATGGCCTGCAAAGACCTACAGGCTCACTCGTCCAAGTGTGGTCCCAGGACCAGCAGCAGCAGCCACAGTGGTAGCACCTAAGTGCTTGTTAGAAATGCTGAATCTTTGGCCACACCCCAGACTAATAAATCAGAATCTGCATTTTAACAAGATTGCCTGGTAACTTAAATGCACATTAAGATGTGAAGAGCACCAACCTGCAGATCTGCCCCAGCTCTCCATCCTACGCCCATTACCTCTCTGACCCATCTTCCACCACAGTCCTGCACACTCAGCATCACTGGTCATCTTGTTACTCCTCCGACACACCAGCTTCTCTTCCGTCCAGGGTCTGTGCACATGCTGTCTGCTCTGCTCAAATGTGCTTTCTCCAGGTGTTGGTAAGGCTCATTTCTTTCCCTCACCTTTTCCAGATCTTTGCTCATGCCACCTTCTGTGCAGACTTCTTTAGTCATCATGTTTACAACTGAAAAAAAATTTCTAGACATCGCCTGTCCCCTTCTTCCCTGCCCTTTTTTCCCCCTTTTTGTCCCCCCTCCCTGTTTCTGTCCATAACACTTACCACTATCTGACATACTTTTTGTTAACTATTCAGTTGTTTATTAGCATTCTCCCTGTGGTAGATTGCAAAATATGGCCACAAATTCTTTGTATCTACTCCTATCAAGAGATGAAATAATATCTCTACCTCTGGATGGTGGGCTTGGCCATGTGACTTGTTTTGACCTATAGGACATTAGCAAACAGGACACAGCAGAAATCTGAAATGGACTTGCACATTGAGCCTTCCTCTCTCTAGCTGCTGGGATACCTGTTTGTCACTATGGGAAGAAGCCCAGGCTAGCCTGCTGGATGACAGGACTAGGTACCACACCCACTCTCCATGATCCAAGCCAGCAGCCAGCACCAACCACCAGGCATGGGAGTGAAGCCATCCTAGACCAGCCAGGCCCCAGATGACCCATCAGTTGACTGAAGAACTCACCAGTCAACTCGCGACTGTTGTGTTAAGCCACTGGGTTCAAGGCAATTAATTTTGAAGCAAGGTGATACACTCTTCCTACGAGTCTATAAGTCCAAAAAGATGGGGATTTTTGCGCACTGCTACATCTCCAGGGCTTAGTACAATGCTCAGCATAGTATGGGTGTTTTAAAATATTTGCAATGAATATTGAAGGACAGGATGATGGCAAAGGGAAAACGCACAACAGAAAGAAATGAATAACTGTCAGAGATGGTCTCCATCACTGAGAGACTAGAAAGGGGGAGAAAGGCTTTCTGGGTTAAGTTTGCCTTTTCAGAATTAGGTTGAACAAGGGGCCGGCCCGGTGGTGCACTGCTACAGTGCGCCGCTTAAGAGTGCAGTGGCGCTCCCGCCGAGGGTTCGGATCCCACGTACAGACCGGGTCCCGCTCACTGGCTGAGCGAGGTGCGGGAGCAACACCGAGGGTTGCGATCCTGTTGCCGGTCCTGGTCCGGTACGGGCACAACACTGAGGGTTGCGATCCGTTGCCGGACACAAAAAAGGGAAAAAAAAAAAAAAAGAATTAGGTTGAACAAAATAAAATTTTGACTACTTGGATAATAGAATATTTTAGCAAAAAAAAAAAATCCACATGTTCATATGCAGTGTATCAAATTTATTCAAAATACTTTTAGTTTCATGGTGCTTAACTTGCAGAAGACTGCAGAACCACGTGACCTTTAGAATATTTTTCACATTATGCAGCACTTACTGTCCCCATTTTAAGTTACTCCAATTTTTAAAAGATCGCAAATCGGCAAACCAATTCACTGCATGTTGCTTCGCTTCTGTCTTGCCAAAGAAAAATCTGCTGCTTTGGATTCATTTCAACAGTTGGAAATTCAGGCCATCACATTTTAAATCTCAGATGTTCCCCACTGTGTCCACATCACATAAATCAGCGAGTGCACAGATACTCACGTTTGTGAAGCCAATTCTCTAACTAAAGCATAATGTCCATTGCAATGGGGCGGCAAATTTAAGTGGATTCTGCAGCAGTGGGTGTCCAAATTCTGAAAGCACAATGTGGCCCTCAAAGAAGGCACTAGCAAGTGCTTTTGGCAAGCAGAAAAAGTTCTCTATTAAACAATATTTTGAAGTACAAAATTAACGTGTTATTTTCATCTGATGGGAAAAAATAAAACACAACCTGCAACACACTAAGTTTCTGTCTTCCTAGGAAAAGGAAGGGAAAAAAACCCCAAAACCCTGAATTCTCTAAAGAGGCTTATAAAGAGTTTATATCTAAACTCAGAACAAGTCTCATGCAAAGAACTAGCAAGGCTGATACGTAACGAGAGGACAGAGAAGCAACTCTGAGGGCAGTTAAGCTCTAGAATCTTCAGGGTTTCTGTCGGAAAACATAAATCTCTTCTAAATGACAGCATCACATACACACATTTGAAAATACCTAATATCTGGCTTGTGATTTTTATTTGTGTGTATACATAATTACCAATTGAATAAAGCACAAAATATATATACTAGAGATCACTGCGGTCTTCCTTGAAGTCACAGGGCTCTTATCCAGAGTAACACATAATCCTTTTTCCTCCTTCCATCACAAACCTTAGTCTATTCTGTGTGCAAGGCTAACGAGAACACTGTTGAGGCTGGACTTTTGTATTAGTCAGGAGGGGCAAGCTTCCACCGTGATAACATACGACCTCACGAATCTCAGTGACTTAAAACAACAAACGCTTGCTTCTAGCTTGCATTAGATAGCCATTGTCCATGGGCTGGAAGTGCTGCTCACTGTATCCCCAAGGACCCAGACTAAAGAAGCGCCCACCATCTGGAGCTCTGCCAATCATCCAGGCAGACACAGACCACCACAAATCATGCATGGACTGTTAATGAAGGGACACACGTGCCACTTCTGCATACATTTTACTGGCCAACCCAAGTCACCTGGCCACACTGAACACCACATATAGGCAAATTCAACATTTTCTCATGGCCAGGAGGAGAATCAGAAATATTCAGTGGACCATACTAATGACTGCTGCGGTCTCTATTTACTCCCTGCCTCTTTTTACTCATGGCCATTTATCTGTTTCAGAATGTTTCTAAGGGCATTTTAACTGCAGTGCACTCTCCTAGGTGCCATCTGGGATATAAAGATGAACTAGACAGAAATCCTGTCTTTGAGGGGATTACTATCCAGCAGAGGTAAAACAAGATGATAGATAGATACTGTCTAGCTATCCACATATATATATATAATATATATATATAAATTGCAAGCAAGATGAAATGTTGAATGCCAATAAAAAGAAGCATGCAAGTTTCAATGAGTTTAAACAAAGGAGGTTTTAGCCACAGGCAGTTTCATTTGAGGAAGTGAAATTTGAGAAGGGCTTTGCAGAATGAATGAGATCTGGACATGAGGATATCCAGGCAGCGAAAATGACATGAGCAGAGACAGAAAAGTAGGAGAAGGCAGTTCATGAGCAAAGAATGGCAAAATGGTTGGGCTGAACGATGTTTAGAACATTGAAGAGGGAGGGAGCAAAGAGGAATAAAAGGAAGAGAAAGAAGAAAGTAAGTTTTTTTAACCAGAGCAAAGGACTTGACACTAGAGACAGGGTAGGACTTGTGCAATAGTCCAAATGACAGGTGACAAAGGGCTTAGCTACAGCAGAACCACCACAATTGAGAGGAGGGAACCGTTCTACTGTCAAACCATACATCCCATGGGAAAACTCAGCTTTCCCATCTCTCTTTCATCTGACCCAGAAAACCGAACTCCCTTTTCCCTCTATCTGTCCAAGCCTGAAGGCCTGGTCATTTGAGGCTTGGATCTGATAAACATGAAGAGGTTGAGAGATTGGCTGCTGGCCATGTCACCCAACCAAGGGAACGTTCCTTTTATAATTAAAGGGAGTTAACTCTCAATGAATATTTGTTCTATTTGTCCCGAGTTTGTTTCTCATCTCCAAGGATATTTCTGAAGCCGCTCCTTAAGGACTAAGCTGCAGGGCTTAATTTATGTCTGTTTGTTCTGGAGTCTGCTATCCCTCTTCCCAGGCAGATTTAACTTTAGTGTTGTGGCCTTTCAAAAGGGCCAATCCAGGTAGGCTCTCCATCACAAGATTCCCCTACCTATTTCATACTGTGCTTTAGGACCCTTCAAGGCTACCAAACCTGCTTATTTTTGCTACTCGCACTGTTTCCACACAAGCAGTAAAATTTGCCTGTGGCCTGAAACCATTTCTCACTACCGACTGGTTCCTTCATTGGGTGGAGGAGGAGGTGTCCATGCTCCAACAGACACAAGACTTCTGCTGCCACCCCAGGGAGATTATTACAGCCAGTAGGGTCCTCGGGTTTCACTGGGATCCGTGGAGAAGCAATCGCAGTCTTTGGATGATCTGGGACTTGGCTCTCAGAGTGGATGCTGTCACACTGTGTTCCCTGACTCTCACACCAAGAATGCTCACAGAAGTCAAAGTCAGAAAGAATGACCCTGCTAATGATGCCAAGGTCTGAAACACTAAAAGATAAGGGTTAGGCTATTTCCCAGGAAGCCTGTACTTTAGGATCCACACACAAATGACTCATCAATACTAGATCACTGCTTTTTATCATATCCTTTAGAGAATATACTGCACACTGTTAGCCTTTTTTATTGACTGGGTAGTAGAATTTTTTTGTCATTTTTCTCTAGTGTTCAGATTTATTTTGAATTTTATGTACACTGCTTGTCTGTAACATACTTTAAGATTCAGCCAATATTTAATGATCACTTATATAGAGTGAGACACCTTCCTAATACTACAGAGTAATAATTAAATCCCCATAAGAAGGAAAAAATAAAGAAAAAGTTAATTGTACTAAATTCCCTAAGAGAATTTTCGGCAAAATTCTATGGGAGTCAAAGAACTGAAAACTCAGAACAATTTCACCTATACCTATATTTTACCTATACCTCCAGAGCAAGGTACAGGTAAACAGGTGACACTGAAGATGTGCCTTCAAGAAGAGACAGAATTTCCAGAAGAACAATGGGTCA